CACCTTGTTGCACATTACTATTAATGTCAATCATTGACAGTCAATGTACTGTAAAGGTCTCACTAAGTAATTGAAGGAATAAATATGGACCAAGATTAAATATTGTCTATGTAATGAGTGCAAAAATGTTGGTCTGTTATTTTAGAGATTCCTCATTAACATGGGTAGCATCAGTTCTAAGAGGTAAATTTACCAATCTGCTGATCAACACGCTGACCTCCATGCCATCCATTCTGTATTATGGCTGTTTTAATAGAAATAGATGAGTGTGTTTCTGAGCAGGCTGGAAATAAGACCGGGAAACATCTCTGGTGTTACGTTCGCATAGCAGCTGCCATGTGTGCTTGCTATGAACCACCAGTGGATATATTTAGGGACCAGAAGGTGCTCTCTCTGTGCGTGTGTGTATGTGTGTGAAAACAAAACATTATTCGAGAGTCCACGCTGCAGTTTTTGTTTACATGAGATGTGGCAAATTTGTACCTTCTTCAGTTCCTGTTTCTGAATGAATCTGCTAGAGACCCACATTGACTGCTGAAGGCAGCAACTGCTCAGATTAGACAACACTGTGAAAAACAAATGAGCACTTTGCAGATTTCTTCTGTTTTTGTTACACTTAAATGTTTCCTATTTATGAAGAGGAAAACCATCTATCCAAAACAACCTGGCCATATGTGAAGAAGTCATTACCCACTAAACCCAGTAACAGGTGGTTCCATCCTTGGCAGGAACAACTGTGATAACTGATAATGAGTCTTTTCAATCACTGTGGAGGAATTTTGGCTGACTCAGCTTTACAGAATTATTTTAATTCAGGCACTCGGGCACATTGCAAAGATTTCCATCATTTTCAGCCTGTTTCAGGTCATACCACAGCACCTCAATCAGCCTGCCAGCAGTCTGGGTTTTACCGGGCCATCTGAACACTTTCTGTTTTTGCTGTTCAAGATTTTCTGGTGCAGAGCTGATGTCAAGATTACAGGTCCTAAAGTAGTGCAGCAGCAGTCACTGACCACCACACTAGGTTAGTCCCAAAGCCTTAGAAATGGTTTAGTAACCATTTTTGGATTGACTTAGTTTCTTATCCATTCTTAGATTTCTTTCAATCGGGGCATAATGTGTTGCCATTTCAGATTTTTCAGCATACAACATTAGGTCATGTTTTCAGAGTATTGTGCGAAGTTCGAGTCAAAGTTATATTGATTCAGTAGTAGTGGTGGACTTCTATGCATATGTGAACGCTGAAGCATGTATGATAGAAATTTTTAACATGTCCAAAGAATTGATAGCAGCCTGATTAAACCGTTTATGCTCCAGAGTTAAATGTGTAGCAAGGCAGTGGCAGAACTTATTATCCTATGGCGCCAAGTCAGCCACTGGACGTAAAGGCAAATGTGTAAAAGTGTGACATGGGTATTAGTGTTGATTCAAAGGTTGACATGCTAACAGATGGGGAGTTTATGTTAAACTCTGACTCTTGAAACTGGTGCCATGTGATCCAGGAATTAGTTTGGTTTTTGATAGGCCAAATTTAAAACACAGTAACAGAGGGTAGGTAGGTCAAAATGCATGGTTCAACTGATTATTTCCCCCTGAATCTATAAAATGTATTATTTATATAAATGTAATTTCCAACTCAGTTTAGCACTGTTAATTTTTTAATAACCTTTGCTCTAAAAGCTGGGTTTAACGCCCAGATCAGAGATCAACTGATCAAGACTGTGAAGCGTTCACAAGCACTGCCAGTTGTTAATAGCGTTGAGACGTTTATAATGTGGCTCTGATGTGGATCTCTGGTTTTGGAAAAGTGGAACCAGTTAAGACCAGGACCACTTAAGAACTGGAACTGGTAGAAAAACCAGAACAGCAGCCGTCCGCCCCCTCAACACTGCTCCATCACCTACAACATAAATGGCTGCCTCTCCTTCTGCTGAGGCTCCAAGTGTGGCATTTTCCTCACGTGCTCCTCCATGTAGAAGCAAGCTAATAACACCACAATTATCATATGACCGACACAGGAAGACACAGAGGAATCTGTCTCAGCTGAACAGGAAACCAGTTTTTTTACAAACAGGAACTTGACTTGGCCCCGAAAGTGTTCAGCTCAAAGAGAAGTACAGTGGAAATGTGGAATGATTACGGTTTCAGAAAGGAACAGTTTCACAAGTTTACAAGCTCATGTTCATGTTGAGCAAAAGGCGACGAAGCAACAAAACCCCAGGAAGAAAGCAGAGTAATGAGAAAGGCCTGCAGGGCACATTAACCATGACTCTGCTGTCCTTAAATACACAACAGTGAGAAAGACAAGGAGAAGCTGCCCTCAGGCAACCACAGCATTAGTCTCTGCTTTTGGAAACATTACAGGCAGATTACACAAGATTTCACAGGGAAGCAGGCTGGAAAAGGAGCCTGCTGTTACATAACCAAAGAGCTGGGAGCGCTTCATTTTCACACAGACTTAGTCACTTTTTGAACATTAGAACTTGTTGGTGGGAGCGGGGTGTTATTAGTTCATACATTGTGCTCGTCTGCCTTCATTAAATGTTTTTTTTTCCTCTTGTTTCAGTAAAACAACTCTTCTGGTTTGAAATAGTGGCTGAATTATCAGCCACTACAGAGGATGTCAAATCAGCCAGAAAAAAACAAGCAAACCAGCATCTGATCAGTCTCACTGATAGTTATTCAAATTTATTTTATGCAGTTGAATTAACCTCAATGGAGAAAAACAAGGAAATCTTTATAAGCAAATCTAACAGTTTGTTAAAGATATTCAGAAACAGAGCTGCACTTAATGATTATTTTGTAGTTGATTATGCTATCGATTAAACTGACAATTATAAAAAAAATTGGCAGGTTCTGCAGGTTTTTCATTTAAACACTAAGGCCTTTTTATATAATATTGGAAATTTATTTTAAATATGCAAAGAAATAATTCAAATCTTTCTTTTTGAATAAGAAAATATTGAGAATTGAAGATCCGTTTGTTCTGAGATATTCCCACCAGACTGTCAAAGATGTACAGATGTTATTGCCCAAAACCCGGACACTATGAGAAGAAGTGATGTTTTCTGGTTAAGGGTTGGTTAAGGGTCTGAGGCGTGTCCTTGTAATGGTTAGCTGCAGCGTAAAGGTCAGGGTTAGGGTATATAAATGAGGGTCAATGTAAAGTCCTTGTGAAGATAGAAAGACATGTCAGAAGTGTGCATGACAGAGAAATGAGAGACGGTGTGTGTTTCTGTGAGGAAGTGAAAGGAGAGAGAGAAGAAAAAAAATGGGTGCCAGGGAGACGCACATATCAAAAACAGTCACATGTTAACAATGAACTTCACCTATCATCTTATCAGTGTTTGCCATTTAAAGTCATGGAGTAATCTGCTGAACCTGGAACCTTTACTAAAGATCCAACCTTGACCACAGCGTGTTTCCTCCACAATGAGCTTCTTATTTAGCGGAAACATCCCACTTGAACAATAAAACATGTTACTATGTTACGGGTCAATAATCTTCAGACCTGAGTTCAGAAAGCCAGTGTTGTGCGGCTCGTTAATGCTTAGATAAGTTTAGATACTTCTCTGATAAGCCTAATGTAGGGCTGGACAATAAATACATAACAATATACATCACAATAGACACATCATAAATATTAATAGATGATACATCTGATAGAATGTTCAATATACAATATAAAAAATATTCATTTAACGCTGGTCGAGAACCGCATAGGATTCTGGGGGATGTTGGTAAAGCATACTGTGGAAGAAAGTCACATCTCTATTAGCACTGGATAGAAGCGCAGCATGCCAGTAGTCAGTAGTTTAACTCTAGTTAAAAAGGAGGCCTCATTCTTACCGTTATACGTGACGCGTGGTTTGGTTAAACACAAAACCAGGTGAAGATCCATCTCATCTGAGGACAAATACTTGGAGCACACTGGACACTTGAACCCTGACAAAAAAGAAGTAAACAGAACAGTGAATGATATGTGGGAGGTGGAATGAGAAGAAACTGTGAAAAAACAGAATTAGAAGTAAACTGGTAAATGTGACAGTTCACGTGGACTTGAATTAGGTGTTTTTACATTTCCTTTCTAGTTTTCACACCTCAGTTTGTCTCATGACTTTATGTTATGGTAAATAAGAAAAAAAAAAGAGTTTTAATGCTAAATGCACATGTGAACACCCTCACCCTTTTGTCTTTTCAATCTGGACTCTGAACTATAATGAACTATGAGATCTTCAACTATAAAAATGTTTTATGGAAAACTAGGTCTATCAAAATAGGTCTAAAGTTGCTATTCCACATATTGCTGAGAAATGTAAACAATAATTGCGAATGGGAAAGGGAAAAGCTTTCAAATCATTACATACAATGTAACATAAATACTAGAGGTGTGCCGATCGATCGGCCACCGATCATAATCGGCCGATTTCCATGAAAAAGTGTATGATCGGTAATC